GGGGGGGGGGGGGGGGGGGGACCAACAGCGCGATGGCACTTCAGGTGGGTGCGCCCGGGCCGCGAGCGCGGCCCACGTCTGGCCCCCCGGGCGCCCGGGCCCTCGCGCTCGTCAGAGATCCAGCAGCATGCCGATGTCGGGCGATGCGGCGGGCGCCCCCGGGCCCGGGGCGGTGGCCAGGCCGGGCTGCTTCTTGCCCGGGCCCGGGGCGAGGCCCCGCGTAACCAGGGCCGCCACCGCGTGAGCCAGATGTTCGGCGACCTGGCCGCCGAGGGACGCATCGGCCGCCAGGCCGGCCGGCACGCGGACCGTCACCTTGAAGGTCTGGTCCGGGAAGAAGCGCAAGTGGGCCAGCATGTCGGCCGCGCCGGCAGCCGTGGCGGCCACCCGGCCGGCCATGATCAGCTCGGTGCCAATGCGCTCGACCAGACGCAGGTGCCCGGCCAGCAGGGCCCCCTCGGCCACCTCTTCGGCCGGGGGCCGGGCCCCGGGCCCCGCGGCCGGGAGCCCCTGCCGCGGGGAGCTGGCCTCATGCGGCAGCCGAACCCACAACTGGCCGAAGTCGGCCGTGGTGGCCACCGTCCCGGCGGAGCCGGGATTCGAAAGGAACGGCAGCAGGGTGCCTGCCACACCGCCGGGCAGCTCCTCCAACGGTGCCTCGCCCAGGGAGATCGGGGCCTCGACCCCGGGGACGCGCAGGGTAATGCGCACGGTGGCATGCGGCGGCGGCAGCGCCGCGAGTGGCGTCTGCAGGACAGCCCCCGCCACAAGGACATTCGGCCCGGCAGCCGGCAGGGGCTACGTCGCGCACGCCGGCAGGCGCGGCCCCCCCCGCGACCGGTGACAAGTCGAGACTGGGTCAGGGTACGAAGCCGGCAAGGGGGACTCCTCAGCGGGCAAAGGCCCGCACGAGCAGGCGGGGCGAAAGGGAGAGGGGAGGGGAGGGGGGGGGGCAGCCGAGGCCCGGAGGACATACCTGCGTCCGAACGCCGAAGATCGGGCTGCTGGTGGAGAAGACAATGTCGGCCGGCGACATGCCAGCTGGCAGGGCCACGGCCAGGCGCAGCGGCGACCCGCCGGCCGTGTCGCCGGCCGATGGCACCCGGCAGCAGAAGGCCCCCGGCAACCCGGCCACCGGGGCCCAGGGGTCCGCGTCGTCCAGCGGCCGGGGAGCCGCGGCCGACGCCCCGGCCCCCGCCAAGCCCAGCAGCAGCAGGTCGGCCGAGGCGCTGGCCGGGGCCGGGCTTGCCGGCGATGACAGGGCATCCAGCAGCGAGGGGGTGGCCGGCTGGGAGACGGCCCCCGGCCGCGAGGACACCCCGGCGAAGAGAGCCGCCGCGGCGCGCTCCTCGGCCGAGGGCCCGCGCGGGGCGGGAACCGACGCGGAGGCCGGGGCGCGTGCGCGATCCGCCGCCTCGGCCCCCGGGGCCATCCCGGCCGTCGGGGCCGCTGCCGTGGCCGTCAGCCCGGCGAAGTCCAAAGAGGAGGGATGCCGGCTGGCGGGCGAGGTCGTCACATCCGGCGGGGTATTGGAGGCGGCAGGGGCGGCCGGGCCGGGGGCCGCGTCGCCGCGACCCTGGTACCCGGTGCGGCCCCAGCGCTGCTTGGCCTTGGCGCCGGCCAGGTCCACCGGGGCGCCGGCTGACACGGCGCCGGCCGGCCCGGCATCCGCCAGCGACGTCGGCAGGTCCATGTTCCCGGACAGGGCCGCCAGGTTGAGGGAGTGGACGGCGGGGGCGGTGCCGGGCAGGCTGGCCGGCGTGCCGGCCGGCGCCCCGGCGCTGCCAGTGCCACTGGCGCCCGGCCAGGCCGAGCCCAAGCCCGTGGCCATCGTCGGCACCGGCAGCACCGGGGCCGCGTACGCTTCGAAGCGGATGCCCGACCGGGGCCCCGAGCCGCCGGCCGTGGTGGCCGCGCCGGAGCCCCCCCCCAACTCGGTGCCGGCCACCCGGCGCCGGACCATGGACACGGTGGACAGGGCCGGGCGCGAGGCGCGCTCCTGCACGAAGGCGTCCAGGAACCCGAGCGACGGGTCGATGTCAAATTCCTCGGAGCTGGCGTCGCGCGGCAGCAGCAGGGCCCGGACCGAGGCCGGGTGCGGCGGCTCCGCGTCGGACCCGGCCCCCCCCCCGGCCGAGCTGGCAACCGCGCCCCACCGGGCCTCGGCCAAATCCAGCCCCAGCAGGTCGCCGGCCAGGCTGCCGGCGCCACTGGCACCAGTGTCCACGGTGCCGGAGGCGTACTTGACGGCCGGCGCGCTGACCAACAGCGCGCGGAGCTCCAGCAGACGCTGCAGCAGATCCCGATTCCCGGGGGCATGGTGCGCCAGCAGGCGGCCCACGGCGTGCTCCACCGTGGCCGGGATGGAAATCGGCCCGGTCTCGGCCTGGTGCACGAGCAGCTTCATGCACATGGTCACGGCCCAGGCGCGGCCGGCCGGAGCTGGCGGGCCACCAGCGCCAGGCGGCCCATGTGCAGGCCACATCCGGCGAGAGGGTCAGGCGCGTGGCCGGGGAGCGGAAAAAAAAAGGGGAAAAAAGAGAAAAGAAGCGCGAAGGACCGGGAAGGTCGGCAGGAGGCACGCATGCACGCACAGAGAAGCGGCTGGGACAGCAGGCGGGCCGCCATGTCCAGCAGGGCCGCCCCGTGGAAGGCGGCCACATCGCCCGGGGAAAGGTGCGCCTGGGCCGCCGGATCGGCCAGGACATACCCATACTCGCCGATGACCCAGCAAATCATGAACAGCAACATCCGGGGAATGGTCTCCACGCTGAGGGGGGCGGCCATGGGGCAGGCAGCCGGGTCGTCGTCCCCGATCGAGTCGCCCTCCTCATTGGCCACCAGGCGCCGGAGAAGACGCGCCAGGCTGAGGACCGCATGGACGCGCAGCAGCCCGGCGCCGGGCTCCGACGCGTCGTCCCCCTCGTCCTCGTCCTCCTCGCCGCCGGTCTCGGCGATCAGGAGCATGATGTTCTCGGCCACGCGAGCGTCCACCAGGTCGCCGGCCACCTCGAACAGTTGGACCATGGTGCCGATGTACCACTCGTGCGAGGGAGCAAACTGCCCGATGGGTGGGAGGGGCGATCCGAGCCGGGAGGCCAAAGAGAGGGAGGGAAGAGAGGGGGGGAAAGAGAGCGCGTGAGCATAAGGGCAGCGGCCGCCGCGGGGATGGTGCGACCGGGGAGGGGGCGTGGCTTTGTCAGTGCAGGCACACACACACACACACACACACGAAGCAGCAGACGACAAGACGAAACAGGCAGCCCAGCTGCCGGGACCCCCCCTCCCCCCGGCCCCGCCTCGCCTCCTTCCCCCGCCCGGGCACAGCCTGGTTTCCGCGCCGTGGCGCTGCGCGCACCCGCTCGGACAGATCGACGATCTGGGCCACCAGCTCGCGGCGGCCCTCCTCCCCGGGGCTCAGGGACCCGGTGCGCAGGAAGCGGATCATCCGCGCGACAACCACCTCCACATTGTTGACGTTGGACACGCGTGCCAGCAGGGCCAGCGACCGCTTGGCCAGGGTCTGGTCGCCGGACTCCAGGCACTCGAGCACGGCCACCTGGTGCGGATGCGCGAAGGAGGGATCCGCCCGGGCCAGCTCCGCCAGGCTGGCAATGCCCAGGTGCTTGAGGTTGTGGTTGCTGGAGTTGAGGAAGCGCCCGAGGGCCTCGGCCGCGCACTCGAAGAGCTTCGGATGGGGGTAGATCAGGGCAATGCAGCGGATGGCCTCATAGAGGACGGCATACGCGGCGTCCACCCCGTTGCCGACCACATGCAGCGTCTGCAACAGGATGGGGAACATCTTCTCACTGGCACTGCGTGATGGAGGGGAAGCCGCCAGCCGGGGCACACACACACACACGCCCGGACAAGTCAGTCAACATGCCTCAAGGTCGCGAGCGGGGCTTAGGTAAGGGATAGGTGGGGAAGGAGGGGGGGGGGGGGGAGGGGCAACGGGTTCTCCGTCCGGCCCCTGTGGTATGCCGGCCCCCAGCACCTCCTTTTTGCCTCGAGGCCAGAGCCATCGGTGTGGGGCTGGTACACTGTCTCCCCCTCCCGCGGGACCGCCACGCGCTGAGCCGTGAATGCCACCAAGCTGTCCCGCAATCAGCTTAACAAAAAAGGGAAGTGGCAACCGGAAAGAAGGCGAAGAGGGGCAGGGGAGAGGGCTGTCAAGTCGCGCGAGCGCTTCGTGTGGCAAAGAGGGAAGGAACCGGCCGACACAGGGCCAGCGGATCGATGCCCTTCGGCGCTTAAGCACACCACTTGGCCCTGGCCGCCCAGGTGGCCGGAGTCCCCCCCCCCCCCCCCCCGCCCCAGGGAGGCATCGCCAATGGGTGACGTACTCGCGCGAGTCGGCGCCCAGCAGGGCCAGCAGCTTCAGCACCTGCACCTGGTACCAGGGAGCAAAGACGCCGCTGTACTCATAGCCCCGGGAGCCGGTGATGCGCTGCTTCAGGAAGCGCCCCTGCAGCTCGACCAGCGGCGGAACCAGGCGCGTGCGCCATTCGGCCATCTCCGCCGGCGAGGGCAGGGGGAAGGCCTCGCGGACGGCGGCTGCGGCGGCGGCCACGCCGGCCGGCCCGTCGCCCGGGGCCCCGGCCCGGGCCAGCCCCGGGACCAGAGCCGCGGCCGGGACCGCCCGCGCGGCCCCCCGCGTCAGCAGCTCATCATACAGGCTCAGTGCGGCGGCCACCACGCCGAAGTCCCGGTCCTGCAGGGCCGCCGGGAGCTGTTGCTCCACCAGCTGCGGATACTGCTGCACCAGGTCCGGCTCCTCGGCCAGGAAGCTGCGCAAGCACTGGAGGGCCTTCTTGCGCACAAGCTCCTTCCCATGGGTCAGGTGCCCGACCACCGGCGCATACAAGGCGGGCAGGAGCTCTCGCGTGACCAGCGCGCTGGCCGTCGACAGGGCGTAGGAGATTTCCAGCGCGTTGCCCGATTGCAGGTCCTACGGCGGCGCGGCGGGGCACAAGGAGGGCGCGAGTCAGACGAGGCGTGTCGGCCGGTGCGCATCTCTGCGGGCGTCATATATACATATATGCGCGTGCGTGCGCGCGTGCGGATTCCGCCCGGCCATGAGGAGGCGAGGGCCAGCGCGGTGGGCCCCACGTACCCGGAGGATGGTCTGGATGAGCATGATGCAGAGCTCGTGGCCGCGGTGCAGCAGCAGCCGCACGGCCAGGTAGGCCACGCGCTTCTCGGACACGGTCTGCGCCTTCTGGGCCAGGTTCACCGCGTGGATGTGGCCGAAGGTGGCCGGCAGGCCGAGCATCTCCAGGAACACCACGCGCAGGAGGTACTCGCGCATGGCTTTCTGCAGGTGTGTTCGCGATCAGGAGCAGCAGCCACGGTTAGAGAGCGGGGGGCACCGAGAGAAGGGGGGCCGGCGCGAGTGCGGGCCCGGGCGCCAGGTGCGCTGCGAGGGCGCCAGGGACGGCGTGGCAGCCGCACAAGCATGCAGGCGCGCGCGCGCGCGGCAACCCAGGGCAGGAAAGGGCCGGAGACGCACGTCGGACACATTCGGCTCGGACATCTTGCTGGACAGGCGCTTGAACTCGGTCTTGAGCAGGGACTCCTCCTCCTGAGGAGGGGAGAGGGCCAAGGTGGGACAGGTGAGTGACGGGAAGTGGCACGCCAGGTGCCCGGTCGCCTCCCCGCTCCGCAGCCCTGAGCAGTCGCTCGTCGGGCGCGTACCTCCTTCGATTGGGCATCGCTGACGGCCCGAATGAGCTCGGTGAACTCGCGCGAGTAGTTCGATGACACGCCAGCGCCGGCGCCCACCGCCTGGGCCAGCTCCTTGGCAACGTCCATGGGGCCTTTCTTCTCTCTGCCTCTTGGGCTAATCGGCAGTCGACCGGCTACGAGGAGATGGGATGGTGTATGTGTGTGTGTGTGTGTGTGTGTGATGGATGAGGGTAGGTTTGTGCGTGTGATAGATGTGGGTGGGTGTGTGCGCGGATGAGGGAAGGTGCAGGGGGGGGGGGGGTGCGGAGCAAGATGCCTCGGCGCGTCCGGACGCGCGCGGCGGATCGCCGTTTGATTTCAGTCCCCTCGTCCCCAGGAGGATGGGACCCCGCCACAGACCCAGGCCCGGGGCCCGAGCGTCGGCAAGGCCAACACCCCGCCCGTCCCCCTTGGGCCGTGCCCCGAACCGGACCACGGCCCGGGCGTGCACGCGCCCGAACACTCGCCAGTCCGGCAATATAAAAACAACAACAACAACAACATGCCCGCCTCCCTCGGCCGGGCCCCAGCGACTCCGGTGCACACGCGCGCCGGCGCCAGCTCCCCGGCAGAAAAAAAGCCCCCACCCCTCCCGGGACCGGCCCGGCATCCTCCCCCAGCGGCCAAGCGCCCGGACTGCCAACGGTCCAACGGGCCGCGAGCGGCCCCGAGCCCGGGCCGATGGGCCCCTCTCCGCAGCGCACGCCGCTGCAGCCGGCGCGGTTGGCGGCAGGCCGATGGTGCGAGGCGGTGAAGGGGGCGGGCGCGCAGCGGCCGCCCGGGCTCGGGGCGGGTCCCGAGGCCCCTTGTGTGCCCATGACTCGGGGACCCATCCCCATCGCGCCAGCCGCCCCCAACTCCCGGCCTCGCTCACCACTGGGCTTTCTTTCTCTCTCTCTCTCACTTACTCTCTCACTTACTCTCACTGACTCTCACTTACTCTCACTGACTCTCACTGACTCTCACTTACTCTCACTGACTCCCTCCCTCCCTCTCTCTCTCTCTCTCTCTCTCTCACTTACTCTTTCACTTACTCTCACTGACTCTCACTTGCTCTCTCGGCACATGTCTATTCGGTGTCTCTATTGCCGCCAGGCAGCACGCTCCAGCGTGGCCGAGGCCACACGGCGAGCCTGACGCAGGGCATCGCGCTCCGACAGGCGCCCCTCGGTGGCCAGGTCCCGCTCGGCCTCCTTGACCAGGGTCGACAGGGCCAGGGCCAGGCCATGGCGGAGGACCTCGCGCCGGGTGAGGGCCTCGGCCGCGGCGCCGGGCTCCTGATCGGGATCGCGCGCGCCGCCGGCCGACCCGGGCATCTGCACCGCCTCGGCAAAGACCCGCACCAGGGCCTGCGGATCCAGCACCGGCAGCACGCGCGTCAGGACGTCCCGCAGGAGGGCCGCATGCGCGGTCGGCAGCGGGCGCCGCTCCAGCGGCAGGGTCCGGAAGACATTCAGCCCGAGGGCCTGGCCCAGGACCAGGTCCGCCACCAGGCGCGAGATGTTCAGCACCCGCCGGGGGCTGGCATCCTGGCTGCCCGGCTCGCCCATGGACCGGAAGACATCCCACAGGGTGAAGGTCAGGGACACCCGGTGCGAGGCACGCGTGGCGATCAGCTTCTGCGCCACCTGCGCATGGAAGGGATTGTACACGCGCTCGCGCGAGCAGCAATGCACCAAAACCCGGACGATGTCGCGCTCGGCCTCCCCGCGCAGGCCCAGCCCCAGGACCCGGGTCACGGCGTCGGCCGCGTCGGCGGCCCCCATCAACGCCACGAACACCGCGCGGCGGATGTCGGTGTTCATGCCGTGGCGTCGAGCCGCGGCCAGCAGCTGCGCATGCTCGGTGTCCACGCTGGCCCCGGCGCCGGACCGGCCGGGGGTCAGCATGGCCGCCATGCGGGCCGTCGTGCCGGCCGCCCCGGCCCCGGTGCCGTCCAGGGCCAGGTTTCGTTCGCGAATCTGCCGGGCCAGGGCATGGACCACATCCCCGCCGGATGCCTCGGCCTGGGCCAGGTCCTGCAGGCCGAAGCTAAGCGGGGCAGGGGCGGACACTGTTGTTGTTGTTGTTGTTGTTGTTGTCGGTGTTGTGGCGTTGGCATGTGTGCATGCGTCAGCACAGGGACATCGTGCGGGGCCCGGGTGGGGATGGGCATGGAGAGGGGAGGGAGGAAGAGGGAAGGAGAAAGGAGGCGGCAGCCGGTCGCGAGGGCCAGCCGAGAGAGGGGATATATATATATATGTGTGTGTGATACGCACGTCCGGCGGACTTCATCGTCTCGCGCAGAACCTTCCGCAGGGGAGCCACCAGCTCCTCGTCCGCGTCGTCGGACTTGCGCCGGCGGTTGGTGCGCACGGCGGTCACCGTGTCACGGAGGAAGCGCGCGCGCGAGCTGCAGATGAGGCCCCACGGGCAGCATTGCATGCGCGCACATACACACACGCACACACGCACACACACACACACACACACACACACACGCGCGCGCGCGCGCCGTACAAAGCCCAAGGACAAAGTGGGTGGCGACCGAGCGGAGAGATGAAAAGCACGAACAAAAAAGCCCATGCACAGGAGCGGTAGGCAGGGCGAGGGGGGAATCGTCAGAAACCCGATCCCTGAGCGATCAGCACCAGACAGCGCCCCAGCAGCACACGCACCTGGCCAGCTTGGCTTCTTGCATCTTTTCGATGAAGGCGCGCAGGCGCCCCGGGGCGCCGGTGCGCAGGTGCGAAAACCCGGCCCCCGTGAGCAGGACATTGGCCAGCTCGACGGCCAGCTCGGCCCGGGTGGAGGCCAGCTCGGCCGCGGTCGAGTCGCCGGCCCCCTCCAGGAAGGCCTCGGACTCCAGCACCGCGGCCAGCCACCGGTCGCACAGGTCCATCAGCAGGGACACACCATCCGGCGTGGCCCCCACCAGATTGAAGGAGGCCAGGTGCGACAGGAAGACCGCCAAGTTGCGGGCCTCGCGCGCGCGCGGCCCATCCGTCCCCGGGACCAGGGCATCCTCCTCGGGGTCCTGCATGGCCTGGGCCAGGCCGGCGGCAGGGCCGGCCGGCGGAAGGAGAGCCGCCGCCTCGGCCGCGCGCAGGCGCCGCAACGCCTCCACCGTGGCACAGGCCACCACCTCCGGGCCCCAGGACGCGCCCAGGAAAACCAGGGCCGCGGCCTGCACCGCCACGAAGGAGGACAGCCGGTCGCCGGAGCTGGCCGACGACACGGTGTCCAGCACGGCCGCGGTCAGGGTGGCGAAGACCGCCCGCCGGGGGAAGGCCCCGCCGGCCAGCAGCCGGGCCAGCTCCGGCAGGAGCTGCCCGAAGTTCGAGGACGTCAGCCGGTTGATGGGGCCGCGCACGCGGCGCACCAGCTCCGGGCTGGCCGGCTGGTCCTGCAGGGCCAGGCTGGCCGCGGCCGAGGCCGCCGCTTCGGCGTCCGGGTCGGTGCGCTGCTCGGCCGCATGCCCCAGCAGCCGCCCCAGGTCGATCTTGCCTGAGCCCGAGGCCGGGGCATCCTGGCCGGCGGCCGCGGCCTCGGCCGCAAGGCGCCGCCGCACCGCCGGCGGCAGGTACTTCCCAGCCTCCGGGGCCGGGGCCGGGGCCGGGGCCGAGGCGGTCACAGGGCCGGGCTCCTCGTCCGAGCTGCCGCCCTCCTCTTGGTAGTCCTCCTCGCTGGAGGAGGAGGATGGGCCATCGTCCGAGTGGCTGGAGTCGGCATCGTCGCCGCGCGGGCGCGACCGGTGGCTGAAGGTTGACTCGACCTCGGGCGCGTCGCTGTCGACCTCCTCCTCGAGGCCCTGCGTGTCGGTGTGTGTGTGTGTGTGTGTGTGTGTGTGTGTGTGTGTGCGCGCGCGTGCGTGTGCGTGTGTGAGTCAGAGTCGGCGTGCGGGGCAACGTCGCCGGCAGGGCACATGCCGCGCCTCGGCCAGCCCCGGCGAGAGCCTTCCCCCCCCCCCCCTCTCTCGCTCTCGCTCTGTCTCTCACACGGCGTGCGGCCACCACATCACGAGAGGGGAGGAATGGAGGAGCCCGAGGGCCGAAGGGGGAGAAAAGGGAAGAAGGAAAGGCCCAAAGGGCGAGCACCATGCACGCACCGACTCCTCGCCCAAGTTGTCCAGGCCGACCAGCAGCTCGCCGAGAGCGTCGCCGGCCTCGGCGTCACGCGCAGACCGGCGCTGGGCCTTCGCCGAGCCGCCGTACTTCCGCTCAAATTGCCGGATGACCCACTCATCGTAGAGGGCATCCTTGTCGTCGAGGGGCGCCAGCCCGGCCGAAGACACGGCATCGATCGACTCCAGGTCGCCATCGTCCAGGGTGTCCAGCTCCGGCTCCTCGTCCATGTCGTCGCCGGCCTCCAGCGCGTCCAGGCCGTATGGGTCGTGCTCATCGCCATCGCCATCATCCTGGTCGCCGGCCGAGCCGATGTCCGCGTCCATGGCCTCGAAGTCGGCCAGCGAGTCCTCCCAGTCGAAGGTGGCCGGGGCACGGGCACGCTTGGCCGGGCTGTCGGCCGCCGGGGCGCGGCGCTGCCCTGCCATTGGCGCCTCGTCATCGAAGGCCAGCGCCGGGGCATCCTCCGAGAAGGCCGCCCGGGCCCGGGGCCGAGCCCGGACCGGAGCCACCGGGGCCGCCTGGGGGAGGGGCTGGCGCCCGCCGCGACGAGCCGCCGCGCGGGCTTCCTTGCGAGCCGCGGCCTTGACCACGATGCCGCCCGATGCCAAGGTGCGGTCTGAATGCGTGTGTGTGTGTGTGTGTGTGTGTGTGTGTGTGTGTGTGTGTGTGTGCGAGGACGGCGGCACCGAGGGGCGTGGTCGCACGCCCCCATCCGGGAAGTAGGTCAGCACCACCGAGGCAGCGAGGGAGGGGCGAGAATCTGGCAGAGGAGCAGCGCACCGCGAGGTCGGAATCCACCGCGCCCACCGCGACCGCCACGGCCGCCGCGTCCGCGCCCGCCAAATGGGGGAAGGTTCATGCTGCTAGCAGGGAGAGGGGAAGGACAGGCAAGAGACGGCCCTTCAGGAAAGACAAAATGCCCGGGGGAGGAGAGTGGGGGAGGTGGAGGCGGGAGAGCAGAAAGGGAGAGCAGAAAGGGAGAGAGGAGAAGAAATTGGGCGAAGTGTACGCCAGATAGGATGCCCCTCCTCCGGGGGGGGTGGATGGCGCACGGCGGCGTCCCAAGAGCACCCGCGAGGGGGCGGAGGGGGGGGGGGGGGGACCCTTCTGCAGCTTGGGTGCCAGACCCCCAAGGAGAAAGGGAGGAGGGGCGTGTGCCGGCGATCTGGCCGTGCAGGCGCACGCACGCACGCACGCACGCACGCACACGCGCCTGCGTGCGAGGCTCACCTGGCGCGGGACCTGCCAACCTTCCCCCTGAGCGCGTGATGTGCGATTAAGCCCCGTCTTAACCGAGCAGCGACACCTCGTACTTGGGCCTCGTAGGCGTGCGGCACGGATGTGGGCGCGATGCGGGGCATTCGCAGCGCGGGCCGGCTGCCAACGCAGGCGCATAGCGAACCCTGGCCCGCCCGGCCGCGGGCCCCCTTTCCGAGCGAGACCATGACCGCGGCGTCTCGCGGGCGAAGGCCCGCAAATGGGGCCCGGCGACCGCGGGGCCGGGGCCGCCGGAAATGAGAACGCCTTGACAGATGTCTCGTCTTGGCGAACTCGGCCTCCGAAAGGGTACGAGGAACGACCCCTCGGGGCGCGGGGTCGCGGATCTGAGCCCCCCTTTCGGAAGGGCCGTTTTTAATGCGGCAACCGCCGAGCAGCAGGGGGGAGGGCAGCCCGGACCCGGGTCGTGCCCCGATCAGCCTCGCCGGCCTGGGCGGATGTGTGCCCTCCTGCCGGTGCCGGGCGGCGCCAGGCGGGCGGCCCTGGCCGATCACACCTCGGCCCGATGGCCGGGGAGCGGCGCGAGCCCTTTTTCCGGCGGCCCGGAGCCCGGCCGGGTGGCGAGGCCCCCCGCCCGGGCATCTAAGCTCCTCCGTCCATCTTTGCCCCCCTCCCCCACCCGACCTGTGCCTGCTTCCTTGCCTCCTGCGCCGAGCGCCGTCGGCTGCCTGCACACAGCCGAGCGAGGCCCTCTGGCTTCCCTCGCATCCCGCCCGCCTCCCCCCGGCCTTATCCCGCCCCTTCTCTCTCCCTCTCTCTCTCTCGCTCCCCCTCTCGCTCTTTACTTCTCGCCCCTGCCTTGCGTGGCCCACGTCCCCGGGCCTGTGTCGGTGACTCGGGAAAGGCCCGCGAGCTTCCCGCCTCGCCTTTTCTCCCCCTCCCCCTCCCCGCTCCCCCTCTCAGCCGGCTCCCCACCGGTTGCGCGGCGCCATGAGCGACGCCCTCTTGACCCAGGTCTCCTCGACCGAGGCCTCCCTGGCCGAGATCGATCTCGGGGGGCCCGGGCCGGCCAGCGACTCGTCCACCATGCTGGCGGCCAAGTCGCTGGATTTCCTGCCGGGCGCCATGTCGGCCTCGCCGCCGGACCGGGGCCAGGCGTGCCAGGCCAAAAGCCCGGGCGCCGCCCCGGCGCCGGGGTCCAGCGCGCCGACAACCCCCTCGCGGGGCAGCACCTCCGGGCATGGGGCCCAGCAGCTGGCCTCGTCGCCGGTGGCCGAGCGGTCGCCCTCCTTCCGGGTGCAAGTGTGCCGGCTGGCGGCCGGGCCCGGTGAGGCGGACGACCTGCCGGCCGGGCCGGTGGCCCTTGTCCCGCCGGCCGCCGGGGCGTCCACCTCGCCGCTGTTGTCGTCGCGCGCCTGCCTGCGGGAGCCGCTGGCCGGCCGGTCGTCCGGGGCCGAGCTCCCGGCCGGGGGGGCCTTCGTCACCGCGGCCACCGGGGTGTCGCTGCCGGGGCCGGTGCTGACGCCGGTCGGCCGGCCGGCCGAGGCCACCGGCCACACGTCGGCCCTGCCGGTGGCCGACCATGGGCTGACCCTGCGCGACTTGAAGCCCCTGCGCATGATCGGCAAGGGGGCCCATGGGATCGCGGTGCTGGCCCGGGTGCGGCCGCGGCCGCCCGGGCGCCCCGGCAGCGGGGCCCCGAACGCCACCTCGCCCCTGGACTCGGCGGGCCTGGGCCTGAGCCTGTCGACCGAGTACCAGGAGTTCGGCCTGTCGCCGCCGTCGCAGCACCCGGCGTCCGGGCAGCTGCAACTGTCGCCGCCGCCGGCCGGGGCCGGGACCCCCCTCGGCCCGGGGCCGGCGGCCCCGGAGGAGCTGGTGGTGGTGAAGCAAATCCGCCTGCAGCTGCGCCTGTCCGGGGAGCAGCTCCAGCCGGGCGAGACGGCCGAGCAGGTGAACAAGCGCCGGGCCGAGGCCCTGGCCCAGCGGTGGGCCAAGGTCGGCGAGGCGGCCCTCCTCCGGCGGCACATCCCCCCGCACCCGCATGTCATCGGCTACCGGGGCATGTTTGTCATCATGCGCGGCCAGCCGGCCGGCCGGGCCGGGGCCCCGGGCCCGGCCGAGCCCGGCCCCGAGCCCGGGGGGGACTTCAACCACCTCGAGTGTGTCCTCTGCGTGGTGACCGACTTCGCGGAGAAGGGTGCGTGTCTTGTGCTGCGGGGCTTGCCTCGCTGGCGCCCCCTTGCGCCGGGGCCGGCCCGAGTGGCGTGGGGGTACTGACCTCTTTTTTGCATGCCATGCGCTGGGCCCTGCGCCGGCTGGCCGGGCCACAGGCGACCTGTTCACCCTGCTGAAGGCGCACGAACACTCGCCCATCCCGGAGCCGGTGGTATGGACGCTGATCCGGCAGCTGGCGTCGGCCCTGGCGCACCTGCACGCGCACGGGGTCGCCCATCGGGACCTGAAGCCCAAGAACATCTTCGTGGCCCAGTGCGGCCGGCTCATGCTCGGGGACTTCGGCGTGGCCAAGATCATGGAGGGCGACCACCCGGTCCCGGGGCCCGGCATGTCGCCGTGCCTGGCCCCGGCGGATGGCCCCCCGGGCTCCGGGCCGGGCTCGAGCTCGGGCTCGGACTCGGGGGCCGCCGGCGCGCCCGATGCCCGCGGGCCCGCGGGCCGGAAGCGTGGCCGGGGCACCGGCTCGCAGGGCCCCGAGCCGGAGGGGCCCGGCCCGGAGGCCCGGCAGCGCCGCGTCGGCACCCCGTACTACTTCAGCCCGGAGATGGCCCTCGGTCGGAAGTGCGTGCCCCGCTGCGGGGCCGGGCGTGGCAGGAGTGTGTGTGTGTGTGGGGGGGGGGACCTTGGACCGTCGCCTGGCCGTGCTCTGACACTTTGACACCCTGCCCGCCGGGCGGCCCAGGCACGACCATCGGACGGACCTGTGGTCGCTGGGGTGCATCGCGCACGAGCTCATGACCCGGCAGGTGGCCTTCCGCGGGGCGCGCAACATGCGCGACCTGTACCATCGCATTCTCCGGCGCGATGTGACCGACGAGCTGCCCGGGTGCGTGTCGGCGCCGTGCTAGACGCCGGCGGCCGGCGGCCGGTGTGTGTGTGTGTGTGTGGTGGTGGTGGTGGCGGTGGTTGTCCTCCCTCGGCTTTGCCTCGGCTCCATGTGCCCCGTGCTGACATGCGTTGCTTATTTCTCACCCGCCTGACGGGGTTGCGGCTGTCGTCGCCGGCCGGTGACTCCTCCCGGCATGGTCGGGGGGGGGGGGGGGGGGGGGGGGCTTGCGTCGCGCGCCAAAAGGTACTACTCGGTGCGGCTTCGCCAACTGGTCACCGAGCTGATGAGCCTGAACCCGGACCACCGGCCGACGGCCCTCGCTGTGCAGGAGCTGGCCAGCCGGTATGCGGCCCCGAGCGACAATGCGCTGGAGCTGCTGCACTCGCCGCCCGGGAGTCCGGCCCCGGTGGCGCCGGGCCCGGAAGCCCTCCCGCCGGCCAAGCGGCCGCGCGTGGACCCGGCCGAGGGGCCCGCCGCCGTCGGCCCGGGCGCCGTGGGGTCGGTGGTGGCGGCGGCGGCGGCGGCCGCCGCCGCTGTTGCCGCCGGCCAGCGCCCGGCCGTGCTCATCCCCGGCGACGATGACGACGACTTCCTGGACGTGTCGCCCGAGGCCGGGACCACCCTGTCCAGCAGCGACGAGGATGACTACCTGGATGTGTCGGCGGCGGCGCCGGCCGGCGAGCCGCTGTCCCGGCTGCTGGGCCTCGGCAGCGGGCACTCCTCGCTGGACCGGCTGTCGGCCGGGTCGTCGCTGCTGTCGCTCGGCGACCCGGGGGCCATGTCGGCCGACAACTTCTGGTCGGCGGTCAGCGGGCCGCCCGGGGCCGGGGCCTGCACCGACGCCGGGGGCTTCTCCGAGTCGGACGGGCAGCAGCTCATCCATGCCTTCATGGAGGGGGACTGGGGCGCGGTGCGGCCCGTGCCGCCGGGCCCGGGCCCCGGCCCCGGCCCCGGCCCCGGCGGCCTGGCCTTCGCCGGGAATCTCGGCAGTGTGGCGGCCGCGCGGGCCGGGGTCATGGCCATGGCGCCGGCCGCCGGCCGGCCGGTGCCCGCCCGGGCGAATGCCACGCACCAGGCGCACCTGGTCATCGAGTCGCTGCGCACGCGCAATGAGCAGCTCCAGCGCGACCTGTCCACCCAGTCGCACAACCTGCTGGAAACCAGCGCCCGGTGTGACATGCTGGAGGAGCGGCTGGCCAGCATGGCCGCCCGGCTGGGCCAGGCCGAGGCGGCCTACCACGAGTCGGTCGGGCGCCTGGTGCAGGACCACCAGGCGGAGATGGCCCGGCTGCGGCAGCAACTGGCCGAGCGCACGGCCCAGGTGGCCCGGCTGCAGCAGGCCGCCGCGGCGGCCAGCTCCAACCCCGCGCCCTCGCCTGCGGCCGCGGCGGCCCGGTCGACCCCCTCCGCCGCGCAGTCGCGCCTGATCCAGCAGCAGCAGGAGCAGCTCCGGACCGCCCTGTTCAAGGGCCTGCGCGTACGTCGGGCCCCGGCCGAGCTGTGCCCTCTTCTTTTCCCTTTCCTCGCCCCTCCGCCACCCGGCCAGCGCCTTCTCACACCCGCACTTGCCGGCGGTCCGCTGTTGCTCCGCCCCCTGCCCCCGCCCTCCCGGGCCGCAGTCGGCCAATGCCCTCATCAGCCCGGGGCACATCCACCTGGCCGGGGTGGTCCTGCGCAAGCACCTCCACGGGGTGACCGTCCCCCGGGAGGGCGGCCAGCCGGGCCAGCCGCTGGTCGACTGGATGCAGGAAATGTGCGCCGGGTTCCTGGCGGACATGGCCGCCGGGCAGAGCCCCCACTCGATGGATGTGGACTCCCTGCGGGAGGTGCTGCCGCTGGCGGTGTGGGAGCGCGCCCTGCCGGCCGAGCAGCATCCCCTCCTCCGGCAGTATGCGCCGCTGATGCTGGCCATGCTGCTGCTCCGGGAGCGCCTGGGGGCGGTGGCTGGCGGCGGGTCGCCGGCGGCCGACCGGCGCCCGAGCACGCCCTTCTCGGCCGGCGCGGCGGCCGGCACGCACGCCACCACCCCGGGCGGGGTGGCGGCGGCCAGCCCGCGATCGCCATCCTCCCGGGCCGGGCCGCCGCCCCCATTGCTCCTGTCCCCCGGGGGGCTCTTCCTGCCCGGCACACCGAGCATGAGCCGGTGCGTGTCGCCGAATGGCTTTGCCCCGGGCGGGTCGCCGTGCCCGACATCCCCGCTGGCCAGCAGCCCGCCGCCGATGTCGCCGGTCAGTTAGCTCTTTCTCCGGTGGGGGCAATATAAAACCCCCCCCCATAAAAATATACACACATCTTCACATACTGCTGCGGAATCCGGGCCGATCGTTCGTGGGGCGGTCGGGGATCGTTGGCACCACGCATGCTGGCCCGGCGCGAGATCCCGCATCCGTGTGTGGCCGGGCGGGCGCGGGCGGCGCGGCGGTGGTGGTGGACATGACCGCAGGCGGGGGCCCGGGCACTGAAGGGCACCGTCGTGGCCTGGCGGCCGGGTGGCGGGGGCGGCCAACCGAGGCGCAATCTATCCCGGCTCCCAGCGCCTGTGCTTTCGCCCGTTGTTTTCGCCCGCTGCTTTCGCCCTTCATCTATCTTCCTCGCCGTCTCTCCACACCCGCCCCGCCTCCCTCTCCCCCTCCCCGCCCCAGATGTTGCTTGTGTGGCTCATGCCAGCCTCTTGGTTGCATGGCCTTTTGATGTGCTGTCCTATGTACACCCACGCACAGGCTCTGGCCATGGCCCCTGCCCCGCCGCTCTCGCCTCCTCCCCCCTCCCCCCACCTTTCCCCGAAAGTATCACCCAAGGTCTAACGAGAGGGACCT